TTAGGGTGTAGGGTTTAGGGAGGATTTGCTGCAGGGAGAAGCCAAAGAGTCAGAGACCGTCCCACATGGAGCCCTCCACAGATCGCTCTGTGACAGTGCAGCGGAGAGGCTCAGCAGAGAACCATACATCATCCAGTCCTCAGGGACTCCAGGAGACGTATTGCAAACGTTCACAAGTTGAGTCAGACAGCCGAAACCCTAAACTAAAGGAAACTCCAGGTGGGGAGTTTAGGGTATATAGGGCTTCTATAAGGTTCCTATAAGGTATATAGAGCTTCTATAAACGGTAGCTACCCACCTGAAAATGTCCTAGACTAAACTGTAAACCTGTTCCTGCCCTTGCGGCTTTGTGTTGCGGCTTAGGGACATTTCCGCCGCTCACGGCGGACCAAAGAGCGAGTATGGAGCTGTAGAGGTCGCCGAATTCCGCGCTCACCTTCGGCATCAGAGGGGTGTGGGGCTTACAGTTTTGGGCTTACAGTTCCCTAAACCCCAAACCCTAAACCCTAAACCCTCAACCCAAAACTCCCCTCAAAACCCCTAAAAAAACTGAGATAACTCGGGTCCAGACCTCGGCTGCCTGCTGTATGACCAGTGTCTTGTTGCCGTTGTCCAAATCCTCCAATCCCATGTGCACCTCAGAGAACAATTGGGCGCTTTTAGGCTTCCGGGCTGCGGGTTTTGGATGTAGCTTTGGAGGTTTGGGTTTAGGGTTTAGAGTTCAGGGTTTAGAGTTCAGGGTTCAGGGTTTCAGGGTGTAGATGCGGGACAATGGAGTGCTGGAGCCACTCAAGCCCGCCTCATCGAAGTACAGCGCGACGGCGTTGCTGAAGATGATGCTAAAGATGTAGATAATCAAGATCACCTTGGCTTCACGCAAGGGGAAGGCCCCCGCCTCAGCATTGGGGTTTCGGGCCCCGAAACCGGGAGAGAGCCTCCATGGCAAGAAAACCCCGCCCCATTAAACGAACCACGGTTTAGGCTTTAGGGTTTAGGCTTTAGGGCTTCCAGACCCCCAAAATCTTCAAATCCTGAAGCCTCAACCCAAACGCTGAAACCTCAAAACTCGTAAATTGACTTGGCGTCCGAAAAGCTCTAAGGCCCGAACCCCCAAGCCTTGCACTTAGCCAAAGTACCTGGGCCCTTTTCGCTTCAGAACTCTTACAAATACCCCTAAAAAGATCCACTGACAAGGCCCTTAAAAGCAACCCTTACCCCCCCCCCCTTAAATGGGTAGCAAAATACCACCACGATCGCCCAGAGGAGATCGACGAAAGAGTTGAGGATGGAGAAGATCATCCTGAGCTTTAGGGGCTTCGGGCTTAGGCCTTTTCGTGTCTTTTTTTTGTTCAAGTGTGCCGTTCTACTTTGGGGACCCGAACAAGGAACCGAATTTAGAGAACCTCCGATTTCGGAATATATCTTCGGCTTCAGTGTAGGATGCTGTTGAACAACGACCAAGCATCGTCCGCAACCGGCGCAACGCCTTGACCTCGGACACACCGAGACTTCCAGGACGGAGGCTTCCTACGGTTGATGATACAAATCCTGCTGCATTACCCATGAAAAGAACTATACCACAGTTCCCAGAGTTTAAAGTCCTTAAGGTAATGCAGGATGTATATCATCAACAGTAGCGTAGCAAGGAAGCCCGTTGGCTCAAAAACCTAAGCCCTGAATTCTACACTTGAACAGGGATAGTCCAGAAGTAGTCTTACTACGCAGTACTTAGCTTTGAAACCCCAAACCCCTAAGCCCCTAAATCCTAAA